ATTACTAAACTTTTATCTGTTTGGTGCTGCCAGGCTTAGGCTTGTTTCCGGCTTACAAATGAAGAAATCAGGCGTTTGATGCCCAGAGATGGTTTAGAAAAGAGCCCAAGCTGTCACTTGTCTAATTTTGATTACTAAAGATAGTATAGGACTTGCTTCACGTGGTTGTGGAGTCTAGGGTCAGTTAGTGCAATTGAAAGGGCTTAGCACAATGCCTGACACTCGGTAAGAACTCACTAATTGTTAACTGTTCTTACCAGTGTTACTGTGACAACGGACCCAGCCTCCTGCTTCTGGTGGAATGTGACAAAGTGGTCACTGAATCCTATGCATCTGGTCCTCCATTCCAGCACATTGCAGTTTACTCCAGGTATTTTCTCAGTGCCCCGGGTACTGCTAGATGCTGACAACAGTAGGTAGATGGAAAAGACTTGGGCCTGCCCCTTGAAGAACTAATGCAGGCTGGTAGAGGAGTTAGTGCAAAGTCCAATTTTAAAGAAGTCAGTGTCTGTTGGGAAATTACTATGTAGTGTTGGAACTTTCGAGGTTGCCCTCAAAGGCTGAGTGGGTGGAATCAGGAGAGAGTGAAAGCTAGCAACCTGAATTAAGGGCCACCTGGGCCTAGCCTTCTGGCTGAGCTGGGGCGGGGTGGGATAGGCCATAAAGGACTGCCAGAGTTAGTTATTTGGAGTAAAGATTATCAGCCCAAGCTGTATATTGGAATCATCCGTACTTCTTGGAGAACTAGAAGTGTGCTCCCTTCGGGGGCACATAAACTGAAATTGAAATGATGCAGAGATTGGCATGGCCTCTATGACAGAATGACATAGAAATCCATGATGAGTTGTGTAATTTGTGTGTGTGTGAGAGAGAGAGCAATTGTGGGGGATGGGTTATGAAACTAGAAAGGAGACTAAGGGGAAGTAGAGGTTTTCAGGAAGGGAGGGGGATGATAGAATATGAGACATGAATGCTGAAAAGGAAGGGCACTGCTAAAGGCAGATGGGTGCAGAGGAGGGTGAGGAAAAGAGTGAGGATTTCAACAAAAGACCTACTTGGAGGTAAGTCAGTAAATACATCTCTCGTGTCTGAAAATTCTTTGTTTACTAAGAAGCAAAAGGCTTAACCCTACCCTCACCGTGTGCTCCTTCCTGGTCAGATTGTTGAAGATTCAGTAAGGTAATGTGATCAAACCTAGTACTGTACACAGTTGGTGCTCTGTAATCATAAGCTAATTATGATACTAATCTCACTTCTGAGAATATGGTTTTAAATTTAGTTTTTTTAATTTATTTATTATGTATACAGAGTTCTATCTGCATACATACTTGCATGCCAGAAGAAGGCATCAGATCTCATTATAGATGGCTGTGAGCCACCATATGGTTGTTGGGAATTGAACTCAGGACGTCTGGAAGAACAGGCAGTGCTCTTAACCTCCGAGCCATCTCTCCAGCCCTAAAGTTAGTTTTATGTACCATCTTTGCATATAATTTCAAGATGTTCCTCATGGTCCATAACCTGTCCATGGGCCTCACTCTCCCACTGAGCTATAGCCCCAGTCCTGGAAGTCTGGCTCTAAATGCTTAGAGTGAGTCTTACAAGCTCATGTGTATACTCCACCATTAGAGTTAGCTATGTCACCTGCAAGGCTGGTTTATGAGCAGCTGAGAATAAAAGCCAGAGAGATGGGAAATGAAGGAAAAGAAGACATAGAGGAGGAAAGGAGAAAGCAACAAACAAATTTAAGATGTTTCTTGGGTATGATGTCCCATCATCTCATATAACTACCTCAGTTACAGGGCTGAGGGAAGTCTGATAAGGTATCTGTCATTACTGGGGAACATACTGTTGCCCTTTAACCACATGACTCAGTCTTTCCTCAGAATAATACTGCCTGTGGATTAAGGTTTATGTGTTAAGAGTGTTTGACTTAGGTGATGATAGTACTGATGGGGAATTTGAATCTGGAGAGAGTCCTCACACATCTTTCCTGTTTCTTTTGCAGATGGCAGAATTTCCATAGTATCTCTGAGTCCCACATCTTGGTGTGGGGCTTCAGTCTCAGCTCCACTGGCTAGAAAAGTAAATGGGATTTGCACAAATTAAAAGCCGAACTGAAATCCTGACTGCAGTGTTAATATCCTTTTCTTCTGGTTGTTACTAACAGGTACTAAGTGACCTAAAATGGAACATGTCACTATTTCAGACAGGGCTAAGCTTAAGCAGAGTGTAACAACTGCTGAGGAAAAGCAGTATTTTTTGAAAATGAAATTGTTTCAGATAGGGGACGTTTAGAAAAAAATGGAAAGAAAATGAAGTTATTTACATAGGTGTTCAGATATTGTAGCATAATCTTTTAGAATGTACAAAACACTCTCAATTTTGTTTACACCAGCCCCATTTCAGTAGCTGTGATAATGGCAACTACTGCAAAGTAGTAGTTGTTTTTCTGGATTAGTCATTAGAAGCACCCAGACACCTAAGTGAAGAAGACTTAGCATGGAGTGCTGAGTGTTGAGCAGAAAAGAGAGGATTGATAGGTCCTTTGCAATCGTTTGTAAGGAACTTTTATACGCCATGAAACTTCCCCAGTTAACGTGCATCTCCTAACTGATTTGAATGATTGTCTTCAATCCTCAGGAAAGTCAATGTCGTCAGAAGACCTAGAAGCCCAGGAGGATGAATTATTGGCCCTGGCGAGTATTTATGATGCAGATGAGTTTAGAAAAGCGGAGTCCGTCCAAGGTGGAGAAACCAGGATCTATCTGGATTTGCCACAGAATTTCAAGATATTTGTGAGCGGTTAGTTAAGAATATCTTAACACAGATTTTTCTAAATAAAAATTATTCTTGATTTCTTACAGTATTTTAGTTGTCACTTGTGTATATGGCCATAAGGGATTATTGATAAACATTGGTGGCACAGATTTAATGCATGTTTGTTTTAAAAGAAAACATGGGGCGGGAAGTAAAACAGTTTTCGATTCGATCTTGCCTTTTGACCATTGAATTGAGGTATCCTGCATATTTCATGCAGCCTAGTCGTCTTAATCTGTAGTTGATCAGCACAGTCATTGATAATTAGAGGCAATCAAAGGAAACATAATAAATAACAAGCAGCTGTGAAGATTCTTGGAGCACCATAGAGTGTCACATGGTTGATTCTGTGTGGTTTCTAAGATCAGTGTAACTCCATGGACAGGTATGGGACATGCTGTTACTCTGCCACCTTTTGTTGGGGAAAAACAAAACTGTTTTTGATACATTTGCAGGGAACTTGATGCACATTTTCTCACAATGTTTCTCCTAGAACCTGTGATCACTTAGATGACCCTGTGACTGTGAGAGTGTTGTGTACTGTGTTATGTCCTCAAGCCTGATATTATTTTGTTGGCACATACTTTCCCAACCAATTCATGACTAGTTGGCATATGCTGGTCTTAGTAAGTCATTGTTGTTTCATAGAAATAAATGTCTTTTTTCTCTAGATTGTGTCTTTAATTGTCTACCATAAACCAACAATGAAACAAAACATTGTGCATTACTTTGTCATTAGTGTTAGGAATTGTACTAGGAAGTGTTTACAAGAATGAGTTGTGTGACTTTATGAATTACATGGCACCTAAGTACATTTTTTAAGGGCTTGTAAGGTATTTTGTTTTTGAAGGCAAGACTAGAGAATTAACATTAAGACATAGAAGGTGCTCTGGGGGAGGGTTTTTATCCCCTCTACTAAGCATTAGGGCTGAGCACTGCTCAGTAGTTTGGGACACTCCAGTGTTGATCAACTGATCCTTTCTGATTTTTGTTTTTGGTTCAGGCAATTCAAATGAGTGTCTCCAGAATAGTGGCTTTGAATACACCATTTGCTTTCTGCCACCACTTGTGCTGAACTTTGAACTGCCACCAGATTATCCATCCTCCTCCCCACCTTCATTCACACTTAGTGGCAAATGGCTGTCACCAACTCAGGTAGACCCAAAACTTAATTTCTCCTATCCATTTTTAGAAACTTTCAAAATCATCTTTAATCGAAGACTACCTTGGTGATCTTTAATTCAGTGCATTAAGAACAAACGGCTTTGATTTTGTAAAATTTCCCCCTAGTGTTCATGAATCCTAATGCTAATGAATTGAAAATGCTTAATGTTTTTAGAAAGAATGGCAGGGTTGGGATATAGCTCACTGGTAGAGTTCTTATCTCACATGTTCAAGACCTGGATTCTAGCCTCAGTACTGGAAAAAGAAAGAAAGAAATGGCAGTAAACAAACTTAATTAGTCCTTATGAATTGCAACAGCAATGATTTTTAATCAAGTGTATTGTTTCTTTTCCTAGAGACAAGGTTGTCCTCATTTTCCTTAGATGCTAATACTACTTTCTCAGTTCCTTATTCGTTCCTTAAATGAAAGATTTAATTGTAATTACAACTGAAAATTTAGCTAAATAGCTATAATAAGCAAATTTCCTGAATGTAATAAATGTTTCTCCATGAAAATCTGTGTATTAATAATGGTAATTGTCACTTAGTATCACTTAGCTGTAAATGCACACAAATAGAAATGTGTGTAGTTCTTGTGGATTCTTTCTAAGGCTTGAGACCGTTTATTGAAAGCCTTCCTTTTCTGTGTGCTGTTTATCCTTGTCTAATAACCTCAACACCTTTTTTTAACAGGTAATAATTGTATGTATTTATGATGGAGCACATTGTTGTATTTCAGCTTGATATTGAGTACAGCATGTATTGATCAGACCAGGGTAATTAGTATGTCTGTCTCTGTATCATTTATGCCTGGAGCCTTCAAGTGCCTCTCTTCAATGTCAGTGTTTGATTAAGACATAAATATGACTTGAAGCTAGTAAAGTGTTCCAAGATGTGATGGATCAATAGCTACTTTTCTAGAAGTTATGAAGATTGATAAGCTGATATTAAGACAAAAGCTGTTGTTGACCTCAAGGAAATAGCTCATTAGTTTTTCCCTTTAGTCATATAGTTTTGATATGTTTATTTTTGGAGATAGAGTTTTGATACATAGCTAAATCTCAGGAATCTTCTTCCATCAGCCTTCTGAGAGCTTGGGATTATATGTGCCTACTTGGTTTTATCATATAGTTTTTGTTCCCCCATCTAATCTTTTGAATAATGGTACCTTTACAAGAATTAAGATTACAGCTTAAAAAGGAAGTTCACTTTTAAAGGGGATAGTGCTTGTAGGATAGGAAAGATATGTGCCAGAAGCAGCAAATGTGCAGCAGCTCATTATCTGGTGAGGCTACCAAGAGTGATGTTTAGATTACTGATGGCTGGCAAGTTCTTTAGGTTCTAGAGCCTCGTTGAGTTACTGGTTTTCTGCATATCATCATATGCTTGCACATACGAGTGCACAAGAAGTGATAAGATTAATTGGATACGTGATGTACTTTCAGAGTCCAGTGTCTACTTAATACTAGCTTTCGGAGCACTATAGGGAGGGTTACATTACTTCTTGTCTTTAGATAAAATTATAGTAGAATTCTTTTTGGTTTTTTTGAGACAGGGTTTCTCTGTGGCTTTGGAGGCCGACCTGGAACTAGCTATTGTAGACCAGGCTGGTCTTTATAGTAGAATTCTTTATCAAATAAATTCTCACACAGAGAATTAATGTTTCAATTGGTTGTGTTTGTTACTATACCCTGACTCATAGCATTGTGAATTTCACCCGCTAGTCATGAAATTGACACATGGACCTGTCATTCATGAATCGGGGTGGATAGATAGAATCAGAAAGTGGCTCTAATTATGTAGTATTCTTCTGTACTCCCTCTCTTTCTTCCCCTCTGTTTCCCCACTTCACATTTATGTGCATGCCTTTCTGAAATGGGACTGGAGAAGAAAGGAAGAGAATGTGTCTTTATCAGACTCCACTTCCATGGCATGCAGAACTTCCCATTTAAATAGTTACCCACTTTGGGGCTGGAGAGGTGGCTCAGTGGTTAGGAACACTGTTGTTCTTGCAGAGGACCCCAGTTCAGTTCCCAGAATACACATGGCAACTCACAGCCATCTGCAACTCCAGCTTCAGGGAATCTGATGCCTTCTGACCCCAATGAGCATCAGGACATACATATGTGCAGGCAAAGCACTCATGCACGTAAAACAAATCAAAAACAAAACCTCCAAAAGTAAATATTTGTTGTATTTTATTTTAGCAGGTTTCTAAAAAAGCATGGTTAATATAAGTTCTAAGCAAATCTGAAAAAGCTTTAGTTGTCAGTATTTAGGTAAGTGCTGTACAGAACTGTCAGACACACCACACACACCACACAGAGCACGGAACAGAAAATGGTATTTTCTTTCATTGGGATTTAATTTACAAAATTTGCTTGCCATCTGGAAGGCTTGTTTTTTTCAGGTAGAAAAAAGAAGCAGCTTATAATTCCTGAGCTCCAGTTAGAAATATTTTACATTCTAATAGGAAATCGTCTTATACTTGACTTTCGAATGAAACAGATTACTTTTAAGTGGAAAGGTCAAAATAGTTTAACTTTGATGGCTTAGTTTAGAAGTGAGAGATTTCTTTGTGGTACCCAAACAAGTGGAGGGCCTGTATGAATGTTCAAGGCCCATGTCAGTCTGTTTCCCTCTATTATCTAGATTTGATGTAGATCCAGATTTCTTAGTAAGAATACTTATGAGCTTGTCTGTTGGGGGTCTGCTGATGCTGGAGTGTTTCTTGCCAAGCATGGAACCCTGGATCCAATCCCTGGACTAAAAGGAAAAAAGTTTATTGCAAATGTAGAAAAAAAAGAACTTGGGTTTAATTATACTAGTGGCTATTTTAGCTGACTTGGCTCTTTGATAGGACTGAAAGTTAGAATTAATTTTAAAACTTGGAATGGTATTTTCATCTTAACAACTTTAAAGAATTTTTGAGACAGGGTCTCCCATAGTTCAGGTTGGTCTTCAACTCATTGTATTGTTGAGGATGACCTTGAACTTCTGATCCTTCTGCTCTGCCTCCCAAGTGTTGGGCTTACAGTTGTGCACTAAGTAATTTATTTCAACTCAGTAGATAATATAAATTGTATATGTTTATGGAGTTGTATGATGTTGTGATACATATGTACATGTGTAATCTTTAAGATTGGACAACCAATGTTTTTACAATTATGATAAATGTGTTTATCTTCTCCAACATTTTATTATTTATTTATAGCAAAACACTCAAAATCCTTTCTTCAGCCTTTTCCCCCTTTCTAGCTTTTTGAAATATACAGTGACTTTGCTTGGTGTTTTTAGTCAGGGATTCATGTAGGTTGTCCTTAAACTCTGTGTGGCTGAGACTGGCCTTAAACTCACAATTGCCCTGTTTCTACCTCTCAAGTGTTAGGATTTCAAGCCTGTGCTACACATTATTCCCAACCTCTCTCTACTATGTGCACATTGAGCTTCTTGGTTCCATAATTGTGACTTAATCACTGGTCGATTCTCCTCCATCCCTATTATGTGCACATGAGACTTCTTGGTCCTATAACTGTGACTTAGTAGGTGCTGGTCACTTTTCCCCCTTCCTTCACTTCCATGTCCCTCCTCTACTCTCAAATTCTGTAAAATGAACTGTTTGGTGTTTACCTTTATTTATTTAAAATTTTTATTTTATAAGTGTTTTGCCTGCATGTATGTCTGCATACCACATGTATGCAATGTCCACAGAGGTCAGAAGAGAGCATTAGGGTCCCCTGGAACTGAGTTGACAGATGGTTGTGAGCCACCACGTGGGTTTTGGGAATGGAACCTGGGTCTTCTGAAAGGCAGCCATGCTCACCACTATCCCACCAACACAAACCTGGGTCTTCTGGAAGAGCAGCTCTTAACTGCTGAGCCATCTCTCCAGCTCCTTATCCCTTTAAAGAAAAAGAAAAATGACAGGATTTCATGTAGTTCAAACTGACCTCAGCCTCTGCTTAAAGGTAAGTCCTACCTTGCCTAGCTGAGGTTAACTTTTTTTCTTTTCCAAGACAGGATTTCTCTGTGTAGCCTCAGCTGTCCTTGAACTCACTCTGTAGACCAGATTGGCCTCAAATTCACAGAGATCCACCTGCTTCTGCCTCCACATGATTGATTAAAGGCATGTACCACAACTGCCCAACTAACTTTATATTCTAATCTGAATAAAACCACTCAGTGCTTGTGTTTTTGAGCCTGGCTTATTTCGCTTAACACAGTAATTCCCAATTCCATCCATGCTATTGCAAAAAAAAAAAAAAAAAAAAAAAAAAAGGATTTTATTCTCTTTTATAGATGGACAGTATTTAATTGTTTTTCACCCAGCTGTTGGTGGATGTTTAAGTTGTTTCCTTCCTTGGCAATATGAGTAGATCTGTAGAATTGTATACAGAAGTGTATAAAATAAACATGTCATTTTCTGTAGATATATACCAGGTAGTGGGATTACTGGATCATATTGTAGTTCTGGTTTTGATTCTTTTAAGGAACCTTTGTACTATTTCCCACAGTGGCTGCACTAATTTATGTTCCCACCAACAGTATGCCAATAGTTCTAGTTCCCTTTTTCGACACCATTGCTAGCACTTTTCTTTGATGATACCATTTGTACCAGAGTGAGGTGATACCTTACTGTATCTGGGTTTTACATCACCCTGATTGGTGACATGGAACATTTTTGCATGAGCTTTGCCTGGCACTTGTATATCTTCTTTAAGAACTGTCTGCTAGGTCTTGCCCTTGTGTGTGTATTGAGAGTGGTACTGGGGATTAAACTCAGGGCCTTGTGCATGCTATGCATGCATTCTGCCAATGAGCAATACCCCAGGCCCTCATCTGCCTACTTAAATATCAGATTGTTTGAACCAGCAGTAGCCTTTACTCCTACCTCTTGAGGAAGCTGAGGTAGGAACATCAAAACTTCAAGGGCTGGACTTGTAAAATGGCTCAGTGGGCAGGGGCAGTTGACACCAAGCCTGATGACCTGTGTTTGATCCCTGGAATGCATGTGGTAGAAGGAGAGAACTTAATCCTACCAGTTGTCCTCAGACTTCCACATATAGGTCATGGCATGTCCATGACCATACCTACATATAACGACATATAAAATAAATACATATTTTTTGTTGTTGTTATCAAGACAGAGTTTCTCTGTGTAACCCTGGCAGTCCTAGACCTTGCTTTGTAGATCAGACTCACCTTGAACTCTCAGAGATCTGCCTGGCTCTGCCCCCCCTCCCCCAGTATTGGGATTAAAGGCATGCTCCACCACCGCCTGGCAAGTGCTGAGACTTTTGCAGGGCCTTGGATGGCTCTATACACTATCCTTTTTCTAATTACAATTCTAGATCATCTACAAGGAAGGGTAGAGCTCCCAAAGAGAAGCAATTCTTTTTTTCTTTTTTTTTTTTTTTTGTATGTATGTATGTATGTTTGTTTGTTTTTAGGGATGGAGTTTTGCTGTGTAACATCCCTGGCTGAACTGGAACTTGCTCTGTAGACCAGGCTGGCCTCCAACTTACTGAGATCCACCTGCCTCTGTCTCCTGAGTGCTGAAATTAAAGGTGTGCACCGCCACCACTGGAGAGAAACAGTTCCTGTTAGAACTGCATTCCTTTCTAATACATGAGATACAGAGTAATGCTAAAAGTCCTGTATCAATAGCTTGAGTATCAATCTGGGTCTGTATCCTACAGCATTTTGCATTTCTGTTGTCTTTGTGCTACTTTTAGATTCTGACTTTATGTTTTACTCTGGCCACTGTTGCTAAATAGCTGAAGAAAAGATTTGGTGAGAATGTTGATACTATTTTGGTGGTAAGAAAAAGTAGTGTCAGGAAGTTATACTAACTTTCAAAGAGCCTTAGGAAGATCAGGCATTGGTACATCATCAGTGTCTTTTCAAACTGATCATCCTTGTTTGCTTTCTCCTAGCTCTCTGCTCTCTGCAAGCACCTAGACAACCTATGGGAAGAACACCGAGGCAGTGTGGTGCTGTTTGCTTGGATGCAGTTTCTTAAGGAGGAGACCCTCACCTACCTGAATATTGTCTCTCCTTTTGAGCTCAAAATGGGGTCTCAGAAAAAAGTTCAGAGAAGGACAACGGCTCAGGCCTCTTCCAGCACAGAGCTAGGTTTTGAAGGAGCTGCTGGATCTGATGTAGACCAAGAAGAAATTGTGGATGAGAGAGCTGTGCAGGATGTAGAATCATTGTCAAGTCTGATCCAGGAAATCTTGGACTTCAATCAAGCTCAGCAGATGAAAAGCTTTAATAGTAAATTGTTCCTGTGCAGTATCTGTTTCTGTGAGAAGCTGGGTAGTGAGTGCATGTACTTCTTGGAGTGTAAACATGTGTACTGCAAAGCCTGTCTGAAGGACTACTTCGAAATCCAGATCAAAGATGGCCAAGTGAAATGCCTCAACTGTCCAGAACCAAAGTGCTCTTCAGTGGCTACTCCTGGTCAGGTAACATCGCTCTGCTGATGCCACAGTCCTTTTCTCAAAGGGAAATCTCTTGGAAACTTTTCTTTTGTTTCCTTTTGAGACAGCATCTTCCGTATAACCAGATTCAAACGCATAATTTTTCTGCCTCGACTTCCCAAATACTGGGATTGTAGGTGTAATACTGGGATTGTAGGTGTATGCCACTGCACTTGCCACAGGAAATCTAACCGGGCATTGGTGGTGCACGCCTTTTAATCCCAGCACTTGGAGGCAGAGGCAGGTGTATCTCTGTGGGTTTGAGATCAGCCTGGTCTACAGAGTGAGTGCCAGGATAGGCTCCAAAGCTACACAGAGAAACCCTGTCTTGAAAAACAAAAAAAAAAAAAACAAAAAAAAAAACAAAAAAAAGGAATTCTAATTAACTAATAATAATGTATTTATTTTTCAGCAGTGTTGAGGATCAATCCCAGGCCTCACACATGCTAGGCAAGCCCTCTTCCACTAAGCCACATCCCCACCCTCACAAATTTTCTGTTTTTGGGGGGGTGGAATTTTGAGACAGGGTTTCTGTCTTCTGAGTGCTGAGATTAAAGGCATGTGCTACCACCGCCCGGCAATTTTCTTGATATAGTACTCATGGTGTAGATTAAGTCCTTGGGTGCAGTCCACAAATTGTTTCATTGTATCTATTAAGAATGCTATTACATGCATATAGTGCCCAGCCACCAGTAATCCCAGTACTCCAGAGGTAGAGTGAGGAGGATCAGTGTTCAATATCATCCTTGACTGTAGCAAGTTCAAGGCTTATTTGGGCTGCATGAGGTCTATCTCAAAAATCAAAACCGAGGTCAGTGAAATGGCTCATTCGGTTAAAAAAAAAAAACCTGCCACAAAACCTGATAAACTAAGTTCAGCCTCTAGGACACACATGAAAGAAGGAGAGAACCAACTTCTTGATGTCTTTTAACCTGCTTAAATGTATACATGGGCACATGCACGTATACACACACACAGGCAGATTTCAGTTCTCTCTTTTACTTTTTAAATTTTATTTCACATGCATTGGTGTTTGCCTGCATGTATGTCTATATGAGGGTGTCAGATCTCCTAAAATTGAAGTTACAGATAGCTGTGATCTGCCATGTGGGTGCTGGAATTTGAACCCAAGTCCTCAGGAAGTACAGCCATTGCTTTTAACTACTGAACTATCTCTCCAGCCAGCCCTTGTTTTTTTCAGACAGGATTTCTCTCTATAGCCTTGGCTATAGCCTGGAACTCTCTCTGTAGACCAGGTCAGTTTTGAACTCATAGATCTGCCTGCCTCTGTCTCCCAAGTTCTGGAACCGAAAGCAGGTGCCACCATGCCCAACCTTAGTTTTGACCAGTGTGTGGACCCATGCAACCACAACCTCAGTAGGGATGTAGACTGTTAGAGCAAGACATGGGAGGCTGAATCAGGTGGATTGCTGAAAATTCAAAGCCAGTGGACTACCTAGGAAAGCGTATCTCAACCATGCTTCACCCCTTGCTCAAAAAATGAAAAGGGCATAAATTATTGCCAAACCTCCTTTGATGCTGAAACAAGAACAGAGGTTCGAATTTTGTACCTACTACCTCTTCTATATCAGCAACCTAAGATTCTTTTCAGCATCAGAACTAGTTTGGAAATAGTCAAATTTGTGGTGCTCTTATTTTTCTCAGGTCAAAGAGCTGGTGGAAGCAGACTTATTTGCCCGTTATGATCGCCTCCTTCTCCAGTCTACCTTGGATCTAATGGCAGATGTGGTGTACTGCCCCCGCCCATGCTGCCAGCTCCCTGTGATGCAGGAGCCTGGCGGTACCATGGCTATCTGCTCCAGCTGCAATTTTGCCTTCTGTACCTTGTGCAGACTGACCTATCACGGGGTCTCCCCATGTAAGGTAACTGCAGGTATGTTGTGACTGTGGGCCCAACCCCCATCCAGTAGTCCTCCCTCACAGAGGCCTATGACTTCCATTCAGACACTTAGAGTCCTCACACCTATAGTATTTGTATTTGTCTCAGTCGGGGAGTTACTAGCAGTAGAGTTGCATGCCAATTGTGACCAACTTTTTGCTCCAGTGTACCCTGAATCTGATGGCAGATGTGGCATACTGACACATCTTCCTGAATGCTAGATGAGATACTCACTTAGCAGTTACTTTTGTCAGTTATCATCTTCACTCCAAGGGCATAGGAATGACAAAGAGACTTTTAAAATCCTTTCATGGAACTTCAGTCTAGTGGGGATAACAAAGTACAGAGAAAGTGCTTAAGGATGAAAAACAAAGTAAGAACAGGTTAGGAAGTGTTCTGAGGGAAGAATATTTAAGATTCTGTTTAGGAAACCAGGGCAGCTTTGCTGGAAGCAAGCAGAACCATGCAGACAGGGAAGGCTTTCTAGGAAAAGGACTAGCATGTGGAATCTGTCAGTGCATGTGGGATAACATAGGTCCTGGATGACAGATGCAGGCATCCAAATTCTCACTCTTGGCTCTTTGGCACAGATGTCTGATCGGTCCTCAGATGCTTTCTCCCTAAGCTACTTACTTGTGTTGGTGAAACATGCTTGCCAGTTCTGATGCAGGTAGTGTCTGGGAATCAGGCCCTTTTTGTCAATTTGATTGGTAGTTGGTGTCCCAGGTTTTCTCAGATTAATGAAGAAGATGAGAATACTGCAAAGGTGTTTGAAAATGGAGAGAACTAATGAAAATGCTATGCAAAAGTGTTATGTTGTTGTTTGAGTCTGGGACAAGGTCGATAACAGAAATTGAAAGTCAGAGTTAAAAACTTACAGCAATTTTAGAATGACTCAAATCTAAACAAATTTTAAGTCTGTAGTTGTTAATCTTTCTAGAAATTCCTTCTCTTGTATTTTGCAAAAGTATTGATTCCTGACAGGAGGACTGATCTTCCATCCTGGGTAATGTAACAAACAGTGGGCTAATTTGCATAAAATGCAGAGTGGTGACTGCTAATGCTGTTATAGTCACTGATTGGTAATGCCAGCAAACTGCCTTTATTTACAAGGATATGTCTTAGGAGAAAGTGAGCCAGCAGTTCCACTTGGTTCAGGGCAGAGTCTTGTAGCCTGAAGTTTAAGGGTGGTTTGTACTTCCGGTTATTCTGAAGTACAGTGTTAGTCTTCTGTAATCCTGTTGGTGTGAGAAGGGCAATTTCCTGAATTTGGAGAGATTCAAGTAAGCTTGGGGGTTCAACAGAATTACTAATGTCTGTGTGTGTGTGTGTGTGTGTGTGTGTACATATCCATGAAGTAGGAGTTATTTTGAGAATATTGAGCAGTAGATTTTGTCTTTAAGAACACAAAATTGCTTTGAATTATTAGAGAGAAGAGAAAGATGTCTGTTACATCCAAATAAGGTGGTAGTGCCACAGGACTGCACAATTCACTTAAGAATTTACTTGTTGAAAATAGAAAGAATATAGTTTTCCTAAGAAGGTGTCTTGCTTAAAAGGAACTGTGGTAATATATTGTTTATGATCTAATAAAGCCACTGGAGATCAGAATGCAAAGCTAGCCACAGCCATAGAATCTGGGCAGTGGTGGCACACATCCTCAAATCCCAGGACTCAGGAGACAGAGGTAGATGGATCTCTATGAGTCCAACACCACCCAGGGCTACATGAGAGTGAATCAGTCTAAAAGAGTAACAGGGCTCACACCTTTAATCCCAGCACTAGAGAGATACATAAGGAAGAAGCAAAGGGTCTCATATGAGATTCAGTTTCCAGTCACAGGGAAGATAGGGTCTCCATTTCAGTCTTGGTAGAGATAACAGCTACTTGCATGGGCTGCTTTGCTTTTGTGATCTTCAGCTTGAACCCCTGTCTCTGGGTTTTTATTCATGCTATAACAGACCTCTAAGTAAGATGAGGAAAGCGTACTAATAAAATAACAAGAGCAGAGCTAGGGAGGTGGCTCAGTGGGTAAGAGTGCTTGCTATACAAACATGAGAACCTGAGATTGAATCCCCAGCACTCATGTAAAATTCTGGGTATGGCCACACATGCCTAAAACCCCATCTTTGCGTGGCAAGGATAGGTGGAACCTGGGAGCTTACTGACCAGCCCCAGCCCAGCCTAAATGCCAAGCTTCTAGTTCAGTGTCTTAAAAGAGTAAGGTAGAAAGTGATAGAGGAAGATAGCGGATGTCCTCCTCTGGCCTTTACATTCATTACACACATCTGTACTCACACACTACGTACATATCCTCCAAATAAAAATTAATTAAATAATTAGAACTTTTGTGAGAGGTCTTCAGTTGAATTAAAAAAATTAAGGGAATACAATTGGGAACAAAAGCTTTGTCTGCAGCTAGAACCTTTGCACATGGATACCTAATCCATTTAAGTGGGAAAGCAGCAGTATAAGCCAGCTGAAAAATATTGGGGGAGAGGTGAAAAGAACTTTTTTAAAATTTATTTTTAGCTGGGCGGTGGTGGCGCACACCTTTAGTCCCAGCACTTAGGATGCAGAAGTAGGCAGATCTCTGTGAGTTCAAGACCAGCCTGGTCTACAAGAGCTGGTTGCAGGATAGCCTCCAAAGCCACAGAGAAATCCTGTCTTGAGAAAAAAAAAACAAAACAAACAAACAAACAAAAACCCAAAAAACAAAAACTTTATTTTTATTTGTACATTTGGGTATATACATGTAAGTGCAGTGCCTATGGAGACCACAAGAGGACATTAGATTGCCCAGAGTTGGTGTTATAGGTTGTTTGAGCCTCATGATGATGTTGGTGCTAGAAACAGAAACCTAAGTGCTCTAGAAGCAAAGTAAATGTTCTTATCTGCTGAGCCTTCTCTCTAGCCTCAAGGAAGAACTGCTTTAAAAATCACACTAATTATTTTTGGCAGTGGGTTGCATACTCTGTAGTTGTCAGAAGACAACTTGTGGAAGTTGGTTCTTCCACTGTGTGGACCTGACTGTTGACCTCTGGGCATCAGGCTTGTTGGCAGCCAGCTTCTTTACCCACTGAGCCATCTCAACTACCCCAGGAAGAGCTTTTTAGCACAAAGTGAATTTTGGTCACTGTTTTTGTATGTCAGATCATCAACTTGGGGGGGTTTTATGATGATTGATGTTTATATAGTGTAGAGTTAGTGTCTACAAATTACAGATTTTGGTATGGTATGGTATTGGGCATTAACCTCAGGGTCTTGGCAAACACTCTGTCCCTGAACTCCACAGGCTCTTTGTTCTTTTTGACAAGCCAGTTCTCATTGAATGTTGCCAGCTACATAAACTTGCAAATATTGAGAAATCAAAGTCAGGGGAAACCCTGTCCCCTTAGCAAGTCTGACTCTTCTAGTGGGTGGATCCCACCTGCCTCTGTTTGCATACATGTAAGTATACTGTTTTTGGATCCTATGAGTGTACCACGAATTCTAATTGTTCTTAATAATAAAAGCTCTGAGACGGATATTGGGGTTAAAGCTGATGATCAGAGAGGCAAACTGGTTTGCCACTCGAGAGTTCTCACCTCTACCAATGCTCAGACTGAAAGGGCAGTCCTGTCCTCAGACTGCACTGAGTTCCTCCTGTCTCCTCCTACCTTATATTCCTCTCTAGTGCTGAGATTAAAGGTGTGAGATCCCAAGGACTGAGATCACCTTTGTGTGCGCTCTGTTTCTCTTTTAGACAGATTCAATCTTGTGTAGCCCAGGGTGGCCTTGAATGAACAGAGATTCATCTGCCTGTCTCCCGAGTGTTGGGATTAAAGGTGTGTACCACCATTGCCTGGCCTCTGTGACTGACTAGTGTGGCTAGCTTTGCACTCTGATCTTCAGGCAAGCTTTTTGTTTTATTTTGTTTTTGTTTTTTTGGTTTTTCTCTGTGGCTTTGGAGGCTGTCCTGGAACTAGCTCTTGTAGACCAGGCTCTGTCTCCTGAGCGCTAGGATTAAAGGTGTGCACCACCACCGCCGGGCTCAGGCAAGCTTAATTTGTTAGATCATAAACAAAATATCACCACACTATGAGTATTTGGATTGAATACTAGCCACACCAGTTAAAAGTCTTTTTGTGTGTGTTGTTTTTTTCAGCATGTTTAAAGCTTTATATGATACACAGATCTAAACTACAGGAAATTGTTCACATTTTCACATACAATATATTTATGGTTTTTATTGACATGTTAATTATACACAATAATAGGTTTCATTATGAAATTTTTATGCATGCATATGTTTTGGTCATAGTCACTCCATTGTTCCTCTCCCATCACCTCCTAATTTTTTTATATTTAAATATTTTGGGAGGTTTTTTTTTGGTGGGGTTATTTTTGGTTTTGCTTTAGTTTTTTTTTTTCTCAAGACAGGGTCTCACCATATAGTTCTGATGGATCTGGAACTCTCTATGCAAGACCAGGTTTGCCTTTCAAGTTCCCTCAATGAGATCTACCTGTTTCTATATCCTAAGTGCTGGAGCTAAAGCTGTGCACCACTATGGGACATTATGACCATTTTGAGTGTTTTTAGTCAATATTGCAAATTAACAGTTAATTTTCTATTGTACTTTCTAGAGAAATTAATAGACTTACGAAATGAATACCTACAAGCAGATGAAGCTACTAAAAGGTTCTTGGAACAGAGGTATGGCAAGAGGGTGATTCAGAAGGCCTTGGAGGAGATGGAAAGTAAAGACTGGCTGGAAAAGAACTCCAAGAGCTGCCCCTGCTGTGGGACTCCCATACAGGTGACTGCCATAGGACAGACTTAGAGCACACAGTTAACCTCAGAAGCCTACTGGTTAAATGTAATTATTATGTTATGAAACAAACAAACAAAAAGCCATATTTGGGCACTACTCAGCCATCTTACTTGGAAAATAAAATTTCACTAGTAAATAATGTTACTGTCTTTACACATAGGCTTCTCTATTCAAGTGCTTGTATAGAAAGACAATTTATCTCACATTGTGTCCACCTCAAAATTGAGTAGATGTTGCTCCATTCCACTTTCTTTTGCTAATAACAATATCAAGGCTGGATAAGTTATAAAGCTTATTTTGGATTTTGTTCTGGTCTGTCCTGAGTGCAGAGCATCTCGTAGTGAGAAGTAGTGTGTCTCCGCTGGTAGTGCTCTCTCATAGAAAGCCACCAGTGTCCAGTGATGGGGCGCCAGCCTGATGACCTTATCTCACCCTCATCTTCTCCCAAGGGCCCTGCTTCTAAATACGATATTCAGGTTAAGTTAATTCCCACTTTTTTTCTTTCTTTTTGGTTTTTCAAGACAGGGTTTCTTATGTAGCCTTGGCTGTCCTAGAACTAACTGTAGACTAGGCTGGCCTCAAACTCACAGAGATCCACCTGCCTCTGCCTCCTGAGTGCCGGATTAAAGGTGTATGACACCACTGCCAGGCTAGATCCCATCTTTTTAATACCCCACAGTGGGGATTAAGTTCCCCACTTAATGAGTTTTGAAACGGACAATAGCAGGTTAGAACAAGACCACACTGGAGCTATAGTCAACTCTTAATTTGTGTGATTTTAAAGATTGATTTTTATTCTATGTGTATGACTGCTTGCCTGCATGTTTATCTGTGTACCAAGTGCATGCCTGGTGCCTGCAGAGACCAGAAGGCAGCTTTGGATCCCCTAGAACTGGAGTTACAGATAGTTGTGAGCCACTATATGGGTGATGAGAATTAAACCTGGGTCCTCTGGAAGAGCAGCCAGTGCTGTTAACCAAGAAGCCATCCCTTCAGCCCCAGTCTTTTTTTTTTTTTTTTTTTTAAGATTTTATTTAT